TGTGTGTGTGTGTGATGTCTGTGTGTGTGTTTGTGTGTGTGTGCAATTTGTTCCAGACAACTAAAGTCTTTGGTATGTTAACCCAAATATTCCAGGCTTCAACCCCTGGTGTCCCCAAAAATATTCTATGTGACAGGAAAATAGTGATGCAATTTTATTATTTCTTCCTCTGGTTAGAAAAGGGAATTCAAGAAAAACAGGATAACTCAAAGCACTATTCTGACCCAGGCTTCCTTAGAAAGTAAGAAAAGCAAAGTCTTGGTCCCAACAAAACCTCTCGATGGTATGGCTGTGTGATTTTCGTGTATTTTAATTATGTGTACTGTTGTTTATGTTCCCTTTCCCCTCTGAGTTGTTCACCGCCCTGAGTCCCCCCTGGAGAAGGGCGGCATACAAATAAACCAAATACTAAAATACTAATACTAATACTTTTATTTTGCATGACTGTGAATTCCTTTCATTCACAGTCAGCAAGGCTTTAGCAAACAGTCTTTCAGAGGAATGTTTACCCATATGCACCTTATCTCATTTAGAGCGCTGCCAGATAACTAGTTTTCAAACACAGGGCAAAGCAAAACTTGACACAGAGTCTCTTATAATCACAAAAAGAACTTTCCATACTGAAGGAACAAATTGTTTCCTGCAAAAGCTCACTCCCCATTCATTCCTCTTTTGTTTCCTCTGGGAGGGGCCAATCACCTCCAAGGTGTGGCTTTACTCTTAAGTTGATCCTGCTTTCTTAGTTGTTCTTGTCTTCTGGAAGCTCTGCACATGCGTACACTAGGAACAGCTCCAGCTGCTCTTCTGCCTCACTGCTATCTAACTCCTTCTCTACCTCCGATGCAGAGCCCTCGTCTGAGCTTTCCTCAGCCCCCAGGACTAGTCCACGTTCCTCCCCAACCTCCTTACTGTACAACTCTGCTGCCAGCTCTGCTGGTTGTGGGTGGGCCACAACAAGCACTATCTCTTGCAGGAGAAATGTTTGATTTGAAGAGAAACTGAAAACACCACAAAAAACTCTGTGAATGTATGCATTCATTCTGTTAAAGTTTCGTTTCAAAGAGAGAAACAAAAAAAGGGGGGGGGATGAGATGTGAAATCTTCTCCCACAGTTTCCCCTCTCTTAAGGCAGCTTTGTATGCATAGTCAGAGATAAATCCAGACAGCCAATATCTTCCTGAAAGCAGATCTGTTTCGGAGAACTTGACTTACAATCAAAACACTGCTTGATTCAAGATAGCCCACGAACTAGTTCAGGGATGTATTTAATTTCTGAATCAATAGAAAATAATTAATGTCTTCTATGTTCCTGCAATTTAGCGCTTCTGATGCTGTAACACCGTTAGATTCAATGCCTGGGCCCCAGCTATTGGACTGGACCTTTCTTTCTGATGTTATTAAAGTTAATTCTAGATCTCCCGGCTGCTAATGCTTTTAAATCATTACCTACACTTAAGAGTTTCCAATGATAGAGGAAATGAGTGATTGCTAATTGCAATGGAGTTCATGCAACAGCACATATCTGGCACAGAGGCCTTGGCTCACATTAACACCATCTAGCTGATTTGAACTCTTTTGATACGATTATAGCTAACAGCTCGACTGCGGTGAGACGAAGCTGTTGCTTCTCATTTGTCCCTCGCTCCCCTCCCTCTTTATGCACCGAACCTTATTGAAAAGTTTAGCTGCATACCTGTACAATGCTGCTGTAATCGGGAATGTCTTCTGGCACAGTAGCTTCATAACTGCTCTGGAGGAAGATGGGTCGGTTGTCATTAACATCCAGCACTGTGATATGAACAGTTGCAGTACCAGTCCTTCTTTTTCCCGTCGGGCCATTATCTGTGAGAACAAAACACAGGGTCTGGGTCATCGGCTAACGTTCAGAAGAAAAGCTCTGTCCATTCCACGGACTGCGAATGACCAATCATAGGAAATTCTAAAGAAAATAAGGGTGAAGTGCTTCATACCTTTCTGTCTACCATCTTCATTTAAAATAATTTCTGAGCCATTACTGTCAGGCTCCTAGCAATTAACTTTTCTAGGTAGGCATGTACGTACTTGGGATTGGACTTAAACGTTTATGTCTACAATAGTGTTTCCCCTTCTTGGCAACTTTATGATGTGAGGACATCAACATCACCAGGGGTGGGCTTCAAAAATTGCAGCAACGGATTCGTTGGCCCATTGCTGGGTGGGCATGGCCTAGTCGGCCTCCTGCACCACAATGGGTGGGGGGAGTTTTTCACCCACCCCTGAACATCACCTCCTAATAGTTGCCAAGTTTGATAAAAAAAAAACTGGTCCATGAACTCCAGGAAAGCTTTACGTCAGGTTGGAATGTCAACGAGCAACAATACCAGGGAAAGAGAACAAAGATAACACAGAAGGAAGGTTGTATCTAATAAACATTGCAGCTTTTGTTTAACTTAGATTATATTTGAAGTACAGGGCGGGGCATAACCTTTTCCTAGGGGGTCACAGCAAGATCGACAGCAGTTTACAACTTCCGCGACACCTCATTTTAAAGCCCATAAAAAACTGAGTTTATTGACACGATTTAATAGTCAGTATGA